TCCTCTCGTCGTGGTAGGCCTCTGGTGTCAGTTTGGGGTTGGCTCCTCCTGCGGACCCTCCCTCGTCTGGTCGGCGCGGTGTTCGCGCTGTGCGGGGTTCTGGGTCTCGTAAGGGTCGCCGGCCCTTCGCGGTTTGCCCCCTTGACGGGCGATGGGGGGGGCGGCTTGCGCTGTTCGCCCGCGCCTGGTCCCACGATTCGTGGGCCTTTCGGGTCGTGTCTCGCGACCTGCGGTGGCGTTGGGTGGCCCCTCCCCCCTTTGGGGGGTCGGGGCTGGCAGGGCAGGCTTCTTCCCCTGCGCTCTGTCGAGTCGTCTTGGAGTGGGTACGCTTGGGCGTCGTCGAAACGACGTCGTCCCTCAGATGGGTTTCCCGTCTGTTTCCGGTTCCGAAACGGGACTGCGCGGACCTGCGGTTCATTCTGGACTTGTCCCGTCTGAACCCCTGGGTTCATTGCCCCTCCTTTCGGATGACTACGCTGTCTCAGGTTCGGCTCCTCTTGGAGCCGGGAGCTTGGATGGTGTCCCTGGACCTCCGGGACGCTTATTGGCATGTCCCGATTCATCCGCGGTTCAGGGACTGGCTCGGTTTTGTAGTGGGGCGTCTGAGTTACCGCTTTCGTTGTCTCCCGTTCGGGTTGAACCTGGCACCTCGCGTGTTCACACGCCTTACACGGGTTGTGGTGGCTCGTTTGCGTCTCCTAGGTGTTCGGGTGTTGGCCTACCTCGACGACTGGCTGGTTTGGGCTCCCAGCCAGACAGCTTGCTTGCTAGCCAGGGATTTGGTTCTTTCCCAGCTCGCGGGTTCGGGTTCTTGGTGAACTGGAGGAAGTCCCATCTGGTTCCCGGGAGCCTGAACTTCGCGATGGTGGTCTACCCCTGGGTCGGGTTTGGCTTCGACGGCTGTTCTGGTTCCTTCGGGGTTCCCCCTTCCGCCTCTCTCGCGATCGCAGAGTTCGACCCCCGGGGGACTTGGTCGGTTGCTGCGTCCCGGCTTCCCTCTCAGGTTCGGACTTGGCTGGGTCTCGTGTGGGACTCTCGAACCGCCTCCTTGTCTCTCCCTCGGAGTCTCTCCTGCGGCTGCGGTCCCGCCTTCGTCTGTTTCTGGAGGGCCCTCGGGTCACCCGGCGGTTGCTCGAGGGGCTGTGCGGGAGCCTGAACTTCGCGATGGTGGTCTACCCGCTGGGTCGGGTTTGGCTTCGACGGCTGTTCTGGTTCCTTCGGGGTTCCCCCTTCCGCCTCTCTCGCGATCGCAGAGTTCGACCCCCGGGGGACTTGCGTCGGTTGCTGCGTCACCGGCTTCCTCTTCGGGTTTTCGGGGTTCAGTGCCTTGGCGCCTACCCGAGCCCTCGCTCGATGTGTACACGGATGCGTCGTCTCTCGGCTGGGGTTTTGTGACCAGTGCTCACCAGGCCGGCCAGGGGCGTTGGGATCCGTCCTTCCGTCGAGCTCACAGTACGGTGCGGGAGTTCGCGGCGGTGTGGTTTGCTCTGGGGAGGATTCGGGTGGCCCGTGGATCGACGATTCGGCTCCATTCGGACTGCTCTCCGGTGGTTCATTGCCTGAACCGCGGGGGTTCGATGCGGTCTTTGTCTCTTTGGGGTTGGTCGCTTCGGGTGACTCGTCTGCTGAGTTCTCGGGGTTTGGCTCTCCTGGCGGTTCACGTACGGGGCGTGTCCAACATCTTGGCCGACGCCCTGTCTCGCTTCGTTCCCCTCTCCACGGAGTGGACGGTCGACGACGAGTCCTTCCGTTGGCTTTGCCAGACGTTCGGGCGCCCCGAAGTGGACCTCTTCGCGTCGGCGTGGTCGCGGCGTCTTCCCGTTTATGCGGCGCCCTTCCCCGATTGCGAGGCCGTCGGGGTCGATGCCTTTCGGCTAGACTGGTCGAGGTGGGGGTTCCTGTACCTCTTTCCCCCGGTTCGGCTGTTGCTCCAGGTCCTGACTCGCTTAGAGACTTACCGGGGGAGAGTTGTCCTTCTGGCCCCTTGGTGGCCGGCGCAGCCTTGGTTTCAGGCACTGGTTGCTCGGTGTCCGAACCCGAGGGTTTTCCCGCGGCTCCGCCTCTTTCAGCAGATCGGGCCGGTACGTCACGTAGCTGGTTCGATCTTCTCCTCGAGTCTTCGCGTATGGTTTTTTTGACTCGAGTCTATCATCATCTCTATGGTGATCAGGTGGCCTCCTTGTTGGTGTCCCACCTGAGGGCTTCTTCTCGGCGGCAGTATGAAGTTTCCTGGCGGTCCTTCCGTTTCTTTTTGCGTCTTCGTCGTGTTAGCTCCTTGTCTGTTCGGGTGGTCTTGTCCTTCCTCTCGTGGTTGTTTCAGGACCGTCATCTTATGCCTAACACTGTCGCTTCGTATCGTGCGGCGCTGGCGGAGCCGCTTCAGCTTGCTTTCGGTATCGATGTTACGTCTGCGCCGTTTCGCAAGCTGTCTCGTGCATTGTTTCACCTCCGGCCTGCTCATGCGTCGCCTGAGCCGTCCTGGTCTTTGGACAGAGTGCTCGCTTTCCTTTCATCTCCTCGTTTCGTTGTGGCCCCTTCGGTCCAGGATTGTTTTTCCAAGGCACTTTTCTTGTTGGCTTTGGCCTCTGGGGGTCGGGTAGGGGAGCTTCATGCTCTCCTCCCTCGCAGGGGTTTCTGATCTTTTGGTCGTGGTGATAGTTTTGTTCGTTTGCAGCCGTCTCCTTCTTTTCTGGCGAAGAATGAGACTGCTGCGTTCCGGAGGGGTCCATGGGTGGTTGATGCTTGGTTGGTCAGGCCGGGGGTGCATCATGTTTTGTGTCCGGTTGCGGCGCTTCGCCGTTATTTGCGCGCCACAGCTTCTGTGTCCAGGGACGCGCTGTGGGTTGATCCGGTTTCCCTTCTTCCCTGTTCGCGGGTTCGGGTCTTTCAGGTCGTCCGCAGGGTTATTAGGTCCAGCCAGCCTGCGGTCTATCCCCGTGCCCATGACGTTCGTAAGATCGCGGCTCTTGCTGCCGTCTTTGGGAATATGTCTTGGTCTGATATTCGGGCGCGGGGATTTTGGCGGTCGAACAGGGTCCTGGCTGCTCGTTACCTTGTGAATGTCCCTGGGCCTCGTCGGGGCTGTGTTGCTTTGGGTCGGCGGTTGCAGCCAGTTGTCTCGGCTTCGAGTTGAGGGGTGAGCGACGACCGCCTCCCGGGTAAGTCCCTCTTTTTCTGTCTGTGGGTAGTTAGCTCCGGGGAGCCGACGGGGCTCCCCCCAGAAAACCAGCGTTGAATGTAATGAAACGCCATTTTCTGGGTGAGTCCCGGAGGCTCCCCGGCATCCCTCCCTCCCTCCGGTCGGCGTTTTTTTCGCGTTTTTGACATCCAGCCTCAAGAACTGAGGTGTGGGTAGCCGGCGCGGGGGGTCTGGGGCTCCCCCTTCCCCCTCCCGGGGAGGGGGGAGCTGCGCAGACAGCGGCGCGGCAGTGTGTGACGTCACACTAGTTTGCTTGTTTTCTTTTGGGGAGTTCTATCCACTAGTTCGGTTTTAGGTAGCAATTTTAACCAGAATAGGGGTTTGTTTTGGGGCGCTTACCTTTCTGGGTGCCTGTTCCGGTCGATGGCAGACATAGAATGCTTCCAACTACACGGGGGCTTCTATAGGCCATTGCTCCCCTTGCCTCTCTGAGGGGGCCCGGTTCTGGCCGTGGTCCCCGGTAGGCCTAAGAACTCCATACACATGACTGATGCCAAAGTCTGACATTAGCATATCAGCCTGGGATAGCTCCGGGGAGCCTCCGGGACTCACCCAGAAAATGGCGTTTCATTACATTCAACGCTGGTTTTTTATATTTTTAGGCGATGCTATGGTCAGAAGCTGAACAGCAGTGCTGTGAGCTCATGGTGCATGCACCAGCCTTGGTGGCTCACTCAGTACTGAGGCCCCTCACACCTGGGAATGTTGCCCATGATATTTTTTAAAAATGGAAGGTGAGGAAGGTGATGTGAACCCTGTGTATCCGTGGGCCGTTTAAATCTTGCGTAGTACTGCAAAACTTCATATGCAGTGTTGCGCAGTTTAAGGGTTAATTCCCTCCTTTTGGAGAGTCTTCGTGAGAGTGCCAACATGTGAGGTCGAAGTGATAGGACAGGAGTTTTCTGCTGAGTACTTCTGCCTTTTTTTTTTTTTAAATAGGGCTAATATTTATATAATTCCAATTTAATGGAACTATCCCTTGATCCAGTGATTTTCTAAAAAGAAGCTTCAGTTTTAGACATAGTTCATCTGTCGGTTCCCTTAATAGTTTTGGATTAAATTACATCCACACCTTGAGCTTTTGAATCTTTCAGTATGTCAGTGCTTTTCCTTTTTTACTATATATCACATGTTCTGGGGATATCCCTTAAATGTAATGAAATGGCAGTTTCTGGGTGAGCCCCAGAGGCTCCCTGACACCCTCTTTCCGGTTGATGTTTTTTATTATTCTAGAACAAGGTGGTGGCGGGCTGGCTTCCCCCTCCCTCTGACAGGGAAGGGGAGGTGGAACTAACTAGTAGGGGGGGGTTAGTTGAACAGTTTTGCTTGTTTGTTTTATTAATGGGGGAGTTCTTTTGATAAGTTGCGGGCGTAGGTAGCATTTTGGAACGAGGCAGTAGTTTGTTTTGATTTGCTTATCTTTCTGGATATTTCCCAAGTTGATGGCAAGATGTGTAACACGGGGGGGGGGGGTTTCTCGAATTATCTTTTCTCCTTTTCCCCCCTCTACCCGTATTCTTACTTTTTATTCTCTACAAGGGACTCCAAAACTTTTACTAAAGCCGACTCCACGCCACGTGGTCCTAAGACGATTGACCGTCTTAGGATTCTACAACCCGTATGACGTGACCTAGGCTTTGAGCAAAACCCTAGAGTCGCCTCCGCCGCCACCACCAGACCAGTAACACTGAGCAATGATCGAGGTCTGGATCGATCATGCTAATTAATCAACCTTGGGGCTTGATCCCCACTATAACCGATGACCTTGAGTGTGGAATTAATTACACGGTAAAGATGACTTCCGATTTGGTGTTAGAATCGGCGCCCAATTCAACTCTGCCTCGTAGGGACCACGTGACCAGGACAAATTCATATACATATACATACACATGGAAATAATAAAAATGCAAATTATTAACTAATTAATTTATTACAAGAAAACTAAAACAAAATCTAAATGGTTATCACTCCCTACTTGACCTGAACGGCAATGAATTGACTATCCCTATAAGAGCTCATAGAGCAACTCTACCTTGGGCGACCAGCTCAGATCTTGGGGGAGGTAAGATGGTTGACCTCTCCCAGTTGATCTCGAGTTCACACTGATCTCCCTCTCTCTGGTCTTCCCCAGACTAGAGCATTGTATTGTTCCGCATCGCTTACCAAGTTACTTAGCAAGGTTTAAGTTATAACAATTAACCTCTGTTGTACTTAATTGATCCAGACTGGTTGAATTATTTTACTGAAGTTAAATTACACAAGCATCTAACGGCAGAGCTGTTCCCGATCACCAAAATGGTTATTTGAACTTTAAGAAATAGTGGACATGTCAACTCTGATGACCTATGACCGCCAGGGCACTCCGCCTTACAACTTAGATCTGATTCGTGACGTCACTGATGGTGACTTAACTCAATAATTAGAATACTCTTGATATTGTACCCAGTAATATTATACAATACAATTTTAATACAAAATGAATAAAGGCTAATTTCTCTAAATAAGTGAATACTATAGAATGGTTCATTATACGAAGCTATGAACAAGGCGTCGATTATTTTCACCGCGAATTCCCTGGGGTCAGGTCCCGGGTCACCACGCGGGTCCAGTTTCCCATTCTCTTTTGTCGATAAACCACTCTGGATAATTCTTACAACCAGCCTAGTTTGTTACACCTCTCACAGGTTTAGTGTTTTTCTATAATGGTTATTATAATAAAATATGGGCCCAAGATCTAGTATTTAACTACTGTACTCTGTAGCTTTCACATTTACAACCACTGCTAACCTCACAAGTGAATATTTTATCTCTGTCCATCCAGAAAAAGTCTTCCCTTGTATCCTCAGAAAGAAATGAAACGCTTTCTAATCTGGATTTTCTTTCTGTTGCTCAGTGGAGAAAATGGTGTTGGTAGGCAAGGAGGTGTTGATTGCCCAGGGTGGATCCCCAACAGCAGCTCGGATGGGTTTTCACTGGCCACCATTTCACACGGTCCATCACCTGCACATGCACATCATTGCACCAGAGAATGAAATGGGATTTATAGCACGAGGAATTTTTAAAACCAATTCATTTTGGTTTGTATCGGTGAGTAGTGAATAGTTTGCTAGCACTATTAATATTGACATAAAGGTGGTTTAGTTCTTGTTATGTTTATTAATTTAAAACATAAACTCATATTGCTAATTCATTTGGTTTCATGCAGACACTGACACTATACCATCAGTATAGCAAATTATAACATTTTTATGAAAGATAGGTGAAGACATACTGTATATACATAGTTTTCATTTTCATGGGGTAAGGTAGCATCAGGGAGTGAATACATTTGATATACTGCATATGCCGGTGTACAAGTCCACCTCAAAAATGTAGAGGTGTAATTCAGGTTCAGGCCTGTATTCACCACATAGGGACCCCCCCCCCCCCCAAAAAAAAAATAAAGCAGCACCACTTCCCCTGCCTTACTGTATGGAAGGAATAAACTACTGTATCTCAGAAATATACTGTAGCTTATGAATATTTACTGCATAAGGCAGGTGGTGTCAGTAGTTGTCAGGGGAGGCAGATGGGGTCAGTGGTTGTTACGTGGTGTCCGTGGTTGTCATGGGAGCCAGGTGGTGTCAATGGTTGTCAGGGGAAGTCAAGTGGTCAGTGGTTGTTTGGTGGTATGACATCCTAGGACCGTATGACAACATTATAATGAGGTTGTCATGGGAAGCAGGTGGTGTCAGTGGTTGTCATGGGAGGCAGGTGGTGTCATTGGTTGTTAGGTGGTGTTAGGGGAGGCAGGTGACGTCATTGGTTGTTAGGTGGTGTCAGGGGAGGCAGGTGGTGTCGGTGGTTGTCATGGGAGGCAGGTGGTGTCAGTGGTTGTCATGGGAGGCAGGCAGTTGTCAGTGGTTGTCATGGGAGACAGGTGGTGTCAATGGTTGTCAGGGAAGTCAAGTGGTCAGTGGTTGTTTGGCAGTGTCAATGGTTGTCATGGGAGGCAGGTGCTATCAATGGTTGTTAGGTGGTGTCAGGGGAGGCAGGTGATGTCAATGGTTGTTAAGGGTTATCACATGTGGGTTAATAGTGTCAGGGGAGGCAGATAATGTCAGTGATTGCCAGGAAAGGTTGGTGGTGTTAGTGGTGGAAGATGTCATGGAAGGAATGTTGTTAGCAGTGGTAAAAACAATGAAAAAACATTTTTACTTTGAAATAATATAATTTTATAACAAAACTGGATCAGTCTAATTACCCAAAGCCACAACATTGTTGCTTGGATCGTCAACTTCCTATGGCATCACCTGCCACTTACTTTTGTCAAATTTCATTATAAAATATTATTTTGGAGTAAAAATAATTGTTATGTTCTACTTTCAGCACCAACATTATAATGAGTAAATAGATCATAGTTCTTCATTTTTACATAATACTAAGAAGCTTTAGGTAATTAGACGGGCCCCTAATTAGACGGATGATAATTAGACGGACCACAGGCCTAGCTCAAGCTAGCCTCGCCCCAAGCTTTGTATCCATTAATACTGTACGTCATCTGTATATTACTATGTATTCCTTATTCATATTAATAAAATATTTGCTACTTCAGTTTGATTATTATTATTTGCTGTATACTGTATATCGATGTAACTGTTAATATGAGCCTGTAGCGAGGCTAGTGGCCTGCATGGGTGGCCAGTGATAGGTCGGAACTTGCCAAATGCTTCCAGGTAAGAGATGTTATTGTCACTTATTGCATTATCTGAACTGTAATATGCTTGTTTTATTAGCAAGATGTCATACTGGAGCAATCATAATGCTGAAGATTGTGGTATATGCTAACTACAGTGTATCCTTACTCTAACAAACCCCGCTCTAACAAATTCCTGGATGGTCCGAACAAATTGCATTCGGTACTAAGTTTTCAGTGGAACATACAAATGTACGATCAAGAGCGGGGATTGTTCGTTCAACCAGTCACCGAGACCGAGCATCAGAAGCGGCTGTTATCAGCTATGATTCACCAAAGTGTAAACAGCTATACAGTGTTTTATTTTGCTTACCCATTGTTTCCAGGGAGGAATGGTGTCAGGAAAGGTAGGCGGTGTTAACGCTGTCAGGGAAGGCAGGTGGTGTCAATGGTAGAAGTTGTCAAGGGAGGCAGGTCGTGTCAGTGGTGGAAGCTGTCAGGGAAGACACGTGGTGTCAATGGTGGAAGTTCTCAGGGTAGGCAGGTGGTGTTATTAGTGAATGGCACTGAAGGCAGGCAGTGTCAGGGAAAGCAGGCGGTGTCAATTGTCAGGGAAGGCAGGTGGTGCCAATGGTGGAAGTTGTCAGGAGAGGCAGGTTGCGTTAGGCGTGAGCATCGGGGAAGGCAGATTGTGTAAGTAAAGAGCACAAGGCCCGAGTGATCAGCTGACTGGCAACACGTCAACATGTGGCTGGCACAGCTGCTGCCTCAATGCTTCACTCACTATCTGCTTTTCACCAAATTAGCTGAGAAAATTTTACCATTTCAGTTGTTTATAACACATCTATTGCTCTATCATATTCCATAGTCAAAATGAAGTATTCATAATAAATGGTGATGTTAATGGTCAGGAGATTGTATTAAGGGGTGGAGAGGCATCTAACCTCTACCCCAGTCAACATTTGTACTCATTAATACTGTACTTATATGTACATTACTTTGTGTATTCCTTATTCATATTAATAAACTATTTTGTGGGGGGAGTCCCGTCAGCTCCCCGGAGCTATCCAGGCTGGATGGATATGTATATCTGTCTGGCATCAGTCAATGCATGGAGTTCTTGCCTACTGGGGACAACGAGCCAGAACCTGGCCCCCCTCTAGAGAGGCACGAGGAGCAATGGCCTATAGAGACCCCCCCCCCCTGTGGTTGGGAGCGTCCGATGCCTGCTACCACCAACCGGGACAGGCATCCAGAAAGGTAAGCACCCCAAAACAAACCCCTATTCTGGTAAAAGTATTGTGACCGAAAGCCAAACAGGTGGACAGAACTCCCCAAAGGAAAGTTAGCAAACTAGCATGACGTCATCATGTCACCGCGCCGCTGTCTGCGCAACCCCTCTGGGTTGCGCAGTCTGGGGCTTTGCCCCCCCCCCCCTCCTTGGTAGGGGGAAGGGGGAGCCCCAGACCCATCCGCCGGCGACCCAACCTTCAGTTCTTGGCTGATGGGAGTCTGGTGCGGTCGTGCCTCTGGCTCCAGCTTTTCATTACAGTTTTGTGCCTTGTGGTGTGGGCTGTCCCTTCAGGTGGTGGGTGAACGGGAGTGATATTCCACAGTACTCGGGCTGCATGCACCTAGGGTCTCCTTCCCTAGGTGCCCTGTAAGTACTGCCCTTGGGGCTTGGGGCCACCTTCCACAAGTCACCTTGGGATCTACCTCCGCTGTGCCGGTTACTGCTCGGTATTTGGCCGCCCTTGGGGTTCGCTGGGTTTTTCTGGGGCGGGGGGGGGAGCCCCTACGGCTCGCCGGAGCTATCCATGGCTGATATGGATACCTAACTATTTTGCATCAGTCGATGTGGGTGGAGTTCTAGGCCTACCAGGGACCACGAGCCAGAACCTGGCCCCCTCACAGAGGCATAGGGAGCAATGGCCCATAGAAATGCACATGTGATTTGGAGCATTCTATATCTGCCATCAATAGGGACAGGCACCCAGAAAGGTAAGTGCCACAAAACAAACCCCTATTCTGGTTAACAACGAAAATCGACAAACGAGTGGACAGAACTCGCCAAGAAAAATGATCAAACAAGCATGACGTCACACGAGCCGCGCCGCATGTCTGCGCAGCTCCCTCCTCCCAAAGAGGGGGAAGGGGAAGCCCCAGACCCCCAAGCCGGCGATCCCCGCCCCAGTTCGTCAGCTGATGGGATAGTGCATGGTTGTGTGGCTCCAGCTCCAGTCTTGTCTCAGTGCTGTGACTTGTTTTCAGTGCTGCTCTTACGGTGGTCGTGTGAGTTGGGAATAGTATTCTCAGGTACTCGGGCTGCATGTGCTTAGGGTCACCTTCCTCGAGTGCCCTGTAAGTACCGCCCTTGGGGCTTGGGGTTGCCTTCCACAAGTCACCTTGGGTCTACCTCTGTTGGCTTTACGCTGCTTGGCGTTTGGCCGCCCCGAGTGTTTGGGGTTTTTTCTCCCTTGTTTACCTTGGGGTAAGTGGTAGTTATAGCACTGGTGGGGCGCAGGGTACTGCGTAGCTAGTTTTCATCTATAACAGCGGCCGGCTCTGTTCCCTCTGGGTACGTTGTCCACTTGTGTGGTTTTTCTTTTCTTTTGCCTGGTGGGGGTGTTTGCCTTGTGTTCCCTTCCCCTTATATTAGGGTCGTTTGTGTGGTGGCACCCCTTGCTTCACCCTCACGGGTGGACACGTCCCGTGGGTTCGGCTTTAGCAGTTTGCTTGGTAGTTTGGGGCGCCGGTTAGCAGTGCCCTGCCTGGGATAACCCTTGGCAGACCAGTCTAGGGGCCCTGGAAACCCCATGGGAGCTCTCGGGTCCGATAGCGGAGATCCTTGCGTCCCCTCTCGTTTTGTGCGAGTTAAGGGTTGCTCTGTCTCCTTGTCTCAGGGTGACTCTCGTTGTTTTTGCCTCTGTCATGCTGCCTGCTGGGTCGGTGACACATTCGACCCCGAGTCCTGCAAGCTGTGTTGCTTGTTCGTGGCTCCTCTCACCCAGTCTGCTGATGAATTACCTTGGGTGCAGGCAGCTCGCACGTTGCAGGGTAGGTTGTTACAACGCACTCAGGTTGTCACTTCCCCAGACGCCTCGAGGCTGCCCCGCTTTGTGTAGGGACCCAGACTTGGGGTTTTGGTCGCTTCGGCCTTGGTTCCGGCCACGCCCCCTTGTTTTTCCCTTTTGATGGTTCATTTTGTTCCCCCCTCCTGCTTCCGACCCGTAAGCATCTGAGGGCTTCGGGGTCGGAGCCGGGGTTTAGAGGTTTCTGAGACTTGGGCAGTTTCGGGGGTTGCCCCGTCCGGGGTAGCTGCGGAGGCATTCGAGTCTGTTCCTCCGGCTGATGCTCCGGGGTCTGACCAGTGGGCCCCTTCTCTTCCAGCTCTTTAGGCTGTCCCGGCTTT